TTTTTTTTTTCTTTGGCAAGTAAATATCGTAATATATATATATATAAATATAATGTAATTTATTATATACCTATTAAACTAACACTACAAGATAAAGATGCTATGCCAAAATATAATCTTCTAGTTTGATTTGTAAATTTTAATACTTTATAAGTGATTAGATTCGATAAAAAAGTACTAAATCCAGCCAAGATAGATAAAAATATTGAAAGATTAAAATTATTTACAATGTCATATGATAAAATTGGCAATAAAAGCCAAAAGAAAAGAATAGATGTTTTCATTCCAATCCAGCCGATTATTGCAGCCCAAAATCGAAAATTCTTAAGAACTCGAAATTGTTGTTTCCATTTGTTGTCCAAATGAACTACTGGATTTACAAATAAATCTATGTCTTCATCTAAATCTTCATAGGCATAAATATTATTTCCTTCATTTAAAAATCCTCCTGCATTTATTTTTTCATCAGCTTGACTATATTGGAAATTTTCTATGTTATCTTGACTATCCTCATATTGTGAATTCTCAGGAAGATTTGAAGAGATTCTTACAGGAAGTTCAGTATCATCTTCAGTTGATAAAAGAAGACTGTAAGTTAATATCAGATTAAATTTTTATTTTAAATATTAAAAATAAGTTTCTCTTTCTCTTTCCCTTTCTCTTTATTTCTTATTGATTACTATTTAAGATTTTTAATAAAAAACCTGTAAGGAGAAGTTTGTTGAACAGGAGGCAACCGAAAAGTCAATATTCCAAATACAGTAGGCAATAATATTGTGGTTATCAGTTGTAAACCAGTTTTCAATTTAGCTTCATGCAACAGCAAATTTGTTATACTTGGAATAAATAAAAGACCGAATGAAGCACCAATGTTTCTCAACGTCAATGCTAAATGGAGTTTCCTTCTGAAGTATTTCCTTAAAACATAGTCACTTAATAGAATAATGAAACTGGCACCTATACCCATCACTGCACCTGCACTGGTGCTGGCCAAATAAGCACCAACCCCGCCCGTTGCAAGATACCCGGATGCTATAATTCCAATTACCAAGAGAATTATTCCTATTATTCCTATTAAACGTGGCATAGACGCCATACTCACAATCATCCGTGTCCAAGGATCTAAAAAATAAATTCAATGAATTAGTTTTATAGACTAGAAATTATATAATACATAAAATAGTAATTTTATATATTAATTTTAAATCGTAATTATATGTAAAATATTTTATATTTAATTTATTTATCTGTTTACCAGCTATGTTCCAAAATGCAGTAAATAGTATAGGTGTTAAAATAATTTTTTCACTCCATATATCAAAATCGACAGATTCAGTTTCACGTATATATGCTAATACTATCCCATACATTGCTAGTATGCTTGGAACAGTCATCTGTAAAAATAATGACAAAATTTTTTATTAACAAACTTAACTTTAAAAACTTTTTGAAAATTAATACATAGATTTAATATTTATAATATCATTTATTAAAATGTAAAAAAAATTTAACATTGAAAATTTTATATTTATCAAATTTTTAAAGAAAATAATATATTTTATAAATTATATATTTTTGTAATACAATGAAATAATAGAAATTCATTTTGATTCTATGAAAAATATCTATTGTGATACTGTCACAAAATTATATTATAAAAAACAATAGATAAATTATTTAATTTCGTTGTTATTTTATTTTAGATTGTTGTTTAGATTAAAAGAATAATTATTTAGATTAAAAAAATTTTTACGATTATTTTATGTAAGATATTATATTTTTATATCACAGGAATAATTAAATATTCTATCTATATAATACGTAATAATTATTAAATTAAAAAAGATTAAGAAAATTATTTATCATTAATTATTTATCAAATTAATAATCATTTTAATAATTATTATTTAATCATTTTCATATTTGATTTAAATACCTGAACTAAAAAAACTCCAAAAAGAATAATCCATGCATAACCACCATCTGGAACTGTAGGTCCTAATTCTGGAAATGATGTGACGACTTCATCGAGACGAAGACGTTTAACTGATGACATTCTTTATTATATAAAAATTATATAGTTAGATTCACTGATGCATTTAGATTTATAAGAGAATTTTCGATGCATACTGCGGAATTACTATATTAAAGCTATAACATTATCTAATCTTAAGGATGTCAATGATCTGATAGCTAACGATAAGATGTAATAAAGCTAAAAATATTATGTATTTATTTTTTTATAAATTTTTTATAAATTTTTTTAAGGCAATAAATAAATAGGGAAATCTGATAAATGAATACACATATAATGTAAATATAATAACATTTATTTGCTATTAAACATATTGGAGGCAATAACAATATCAAAATTACTATTTCAACAAGTCCAACAATTAATGTTCTAACAAATAAATTGAAGAATCATATTCTCAATAATATATCTATTTTTTTATTTAGATTCTAAATTAATTGTTATATATATCTTATAAATATTAATGCCTCATTATATTATGAATTTTAAACTATTTATAATACAAAACAAATTAAATGTTCATGTATTATACAATAAAAAAAGAATTTTTC